GTGCTCCTAAAACTAGAGACTATGTCAATGTTCCTGTGTTCCAGGTTTTCTGTTATAATGAAATAAAATATAATTTAGGTTTGCTATTGGCAGCGCTATAGTTATTGGGATCATTTACACGACTAAACGACTGTAATAAGTTAATTCCATAGATAAATGCGTTTGTACTGCAAATTCCTCTCGCAATTCACTTTAAAATATATAAAATAAAAATATGCCCGAGTCGAGACCTTTTGCAATCCTTTTTTCCCTTCTCTCATATGACAGCTACTAGACAAAAGCAGTCATTAATACAGATAATTGGTCTGTGCGTATGAGTTACGATTACTGAAATTACTGAGTTTACTACAAAAAAATTACTTACAAATTGTTTTTTGATTGACGTTAAACCATTTCAAACGAACTATCTCGTCATATCCAAGAAACGGACATTATAGCAAGTTTTACTAACATAAAAAAAAAAACAAAAAATTGCAAACATAGAATTACATCGCAGAATCGCCATATACTTCACATATAATGCGGAATTACTTGAAATTCCAGTAAGTTGTGTGCATCAAAGTGCAGTCAAGTTTGATTATAAATATGTAACGTTTTCAACTGCTTTTGTCAGTTAGTGCCGAGGGAAAAAATGTTCATAAGTGAAACATAGCCGTGAGTGCAATTGTAATGTGAAATTTTTACTTTATTTTGTAACTGCTTTTTGATATGTTTGGAAACCTTCACAAAACAGAAGATCTTCCAAGTAAGAAACGATATTAAGTTCATGTATTTACATTCATTTTTAATATTAATGATTATTATTAAAATAATTATTAACAAAAATGATTATTATTTCTCAGATATTCCTGCTATTATGAAAAGCCAAAAAGATTTGAAAAGGGTCGGGGCTTAAATTATTCCATGGCAGGAAGTTAACCAAAGAAAAGAACGACATAATTTGGCAACGTAAATTCGAAAGTGAAGTCGTTACGCAGAAATTATAAGAGTTAAAAGGCTAAAATTTGCCACATTTGCTATAAGAAACACTCTACTGTTTAAGTGCAAAATTGAAAGAATCGACCATGCCCAGACATAGTAGGAAGTGATTAAATTATCTTTTTTTCACCACTTTGAAGTTTTATGCTTATTTACCGTAAAGCAAACAAGCCAGAATGTTAAAAACTATTTTTTGCCTTCCTCAAATAAAGACATTTTATGTCATTATTATAAATGAATACAGTAGGCACCGCCATTATTTTTTTCTTAATAATACCAGCGATACGGGTACTAAATAAAATAACTTTGAAAGTAAGGCTCGAAAGATAATTGGTGGGTATCCGAGATTCAGCCCCCGCCAAATATAACTTTCTTACTTGTTATATATATTGATACATTAACATATTAATTTGCCTACAAAGAACGTATAATTTTTTTTTTTCATTTATTTGTTTATTTATTTACTTATACATGAAATTTAGCTAAAATAAATGAACAGTTAAGTTTAATTAACTTTTAGAAGTACACCTTATACTAATTTTTGGTAAAAACTAGTATAAAGCATACAAGGAGTTGCAAGGAAAAATACACGATTAAATAATAATTCATGTATGAATAAATAACAGGAAGAAAGAAAAAAAAGCGTGTTGACAGCCAGCACTCCCAAGTGCCTAAACCATTGCAAACATCCAAAATCTTGGCAACCGATAAAATAAACAACACCAGTTAATTTTCGAATCATAATGAGATATTAAGATTGCAAGTTAGTTTAAATACGACGTAAAAAAATCACGCATATTAAGCAATTTTGTGTTGATAGACTTTAAACAATCGGATATTTAGATTAAGTGATAGACAGCATTTAGGTTACTGCAAACAACTCTGAACAGGTCAAACAGCATTAAAGCTTATCTCACCAAGTAATGGAACGAATCGATAGCTCCATTAATTAACTAAATAAAAAGGGAACAACAAGAATAAATCTATATTTCTTCAGTGACGGTAAGGATAATAGAAGCAGTCTATTTTCATAAGTAGGCAGAGAAACATGTTGATCCCAAACAAGGCAATTACCTTGGCAATTTGGTTTTGCTTTGAACTGCTTTGCTTTTGAACTGATTCGATTAAGTCTACATAACGCTTATGGGAAGGAGGCAGACTCAAGTATAGGTGTAACAAAACACATGTATAGCCTTTTTGAAACGTAAGGATCCTTCAGCTCTTTAGACCACCTTTACCAACCAAGCGCGGATCTATATTTACTTAAAGAGAGCTTAGTGTTCAAATTGAAACGATTGTTTTAATTTGATCGTATAGAATGCCTATGTGGATGAACGAACCAACTTTTTCCAATTTGTGTGGAGTAACGAAAAACTAAGTATTGAATGACACCCTTCTTAAGAAAGAAAACTTCTTGCATTTTTTTGATTTAATTATATGAAATTTAACGAGCGCAATGTAGCTAAATTATATCAGTCAATTTGAAGCTGATACGATTGCCATTCCAAGTAGAAGGACGAAAACAGTTTAACATCGTCAGCATACATTCAGAACTGGATGCATTTATTCACGGAAGTGAGATCATGAAATGAAAGGGATCCTAAGTGGCTGCCTTCATGGACGTCAGGAGAGATTCTTCCGAGGTTTTGAAGTTTAACAGAACCGTGAACGATCTCTTATGTCTGTAGATAAAAGCTGATACTTTTGACTACGTAGAGGGGGAAGCCAGAAGCCTGGAGTTTGAAGATCAATAAATTATGGTTAACTATGTAAAATGCTTTGTTAAAATCAGTATATACGATATCCGTGTGAGAGCCAATAGAAAAAGCCTTAAAACATGGCAATTAAACTCTAAGAATGAAATTAGATCTTCCTTTCCGAAAGCCATGCTGGAATGGAGAAATATAAAATTTGATAGCAAAAGCTATCTATCTCAACGTGATGTCTACACTTGTAAACTGGAATAAGGAAACTACCCTTGCAACATAAAGGCAAACCATGTGATTTCAAATCATTGCTAATTACAAATTATTGAAAAAACACCGCCTAGCTCGTCAGAGTATGATTGAAGTATACATGATAGAATGCCATCAGCTTAGGCGCACAGCAATATTTTAGAAACGTCAAACTATGTAAATCGTCGTTTCATGAAATGAACAAGTTACGAATCGAAACCGTGTTAGTGACCAAATAGGGATAGCTAACAGTTAAATTGGAATTGGCAGTTGAAAATTCTCATAAGCAGAACCACTTTTTAAAAATTTTTTGAAAAGTTTGTTTCACTGCTTTTGCAATATTTAACACGCTTGTTAACCCGTGGCGGGCACTTGCTTCGAGAGCGAGGTTGCAGCAATAGGTAGGTTTAATACATTTTAAAACGAAGACAGTAAGAGTTCAACATTTCCAGCAGAAAAATCGAGCATAATATGTGAAAGATATGGTTTAAACAGTAAAATATTGGTCTTATTAAAATCATAATTTTTATTGGAAGATGTTGGATTTGGCACATTAGAGTAGTTCAACGGACTATCATCCCTACCATGAAAGGAAATACAGACTGCCGAATGATACGCGCCCTCAGGGAAACTAAAATGTGGACAGTAATTTACAACCATCTTCGGGAAATTGGCAAAGCTAAGATCTAGCAATCCGCCATTACAATTGGGAACACGGTTGTATTGAAACAAATAATTCATTGAAAAACACAACAGCTCCATCAGATGTTGAAGGGGAGACCACACAGCCAGAATTACCATTATAACCATAATTGAGTTGTGGAAAGTTGAAGTCCCCCAAGGCTATGTCTATACCAGTAGATTAAGACTTTCCGACCACATCACAAATGAGGGCAACATATTACTTACAAACAGGGATAACCGTATTTGGAGGATTATAGAAACACTTTTACTGGCAATTTTCCCTGAGTGGCAATAAATTCAACGTCGGAAGGAGTAGAAAGCGCAATTGATTAAGATGGGACTGCAACAGATATGGCAATTAAAACACCACCACCAGTGCAGTCTAATCGATCTTTCTCAAAACCTGGAAAGTATTGTGAAAAATTTCTAATGAGTGTAAATGAGACTTTAACCAAGCTTGAGTGAAGGGCGAACGGGAAAACTTCTTACTGAAAACTGCTTACTGAATTTAGGAAAGCAGAGCGAATTCTAAAGTTCAGACTAACGTTTTGGTAAGAGAATATTACTGGGTCTGAGGAAACATTTAGCGGAAACGCTTTTAGAAAACGATAGAGGAAACGCTAATATTCTTTGTAGGCAAGGATAGAGCACACACGTAAGTCGACGAAACAGATTTAAGCGAAGACTAAGGTGAAGTACCACATGCTACAGTACGAGTTGGTCTTTTACTGGGGGTGAAAAACATCATCAAATATTGTCTTCTTCGGAAAGTTCATCTCTTGTCTTTCTTTCGAATCCTTTCGAAGGATCTAGGACAGAATCTGCAGCACGGCCATTAATACCTGCTCACTTTGCATGACGAAGACGTTCGCAAGGCCAACAAGTAGTAAATCGTTCAGAATCAGAATTCTGTTTTGCTCGAGATGATGTAAAAAACACTCCATGTCAAAAAGTAACAGACAAGATAGGGATTGTGAAAAAAAGAAAGAACAAAAAGTTTGTGACGAACAGGAAAATATTCTCTGAATTTAGCTATTAAAGACACAGTAAACAGAGAGCAAGCTATAAGAAAAACTGTAAACACGCAGTTAAAGAACAAGAAAGAGACGTATTAACGAGCTCATCAAGTGCTGATCGCAAAAAACAAATTGAGTATCAGGACAAAAAGACCAATATAATTCAATTCATTTATACACTTTTATACGTTTACAATTAATGAGGCTTTAAACGAGTATAAAGCAATAAGATAACAAAAAAGAAATCGCAAATCAAAACTTAGTTATGTGTTACAAAATCCATTTTTTTAATTTATTCCTTATTTGTTTTATTTCAATAGCATTTAATTTGAAAGTGCAGAAGATATGCCAGCTCATATTTCCTCACCTACTCGACTTAATTGTTAGCGTCACGATGGCAATAAATAAGAAGGTAGAGCTGCAGAAGTTACATGCTGAATTTCATGATTTTGCACTTTATAGTGCACGCAAATGTTGCATAGAGCTGCGCAAACCTTTGCGAATTTTCCCAATTTCTTGGAATAGTAGCCATCAACTTTGAAAAACGAATAGGTTTAATTCGGATTTTTGCCAACTTTTCAGTATACCAATGCATCGCTGAACAACGTTCCTTGTCTTGCAATGATTATTGTATGGAACCCTGAAGGAAGCCTTCCGCCTTTCACATGATTATTTAATAACATTTAAGAACATGTTACTTACCTTTTTTTTGGTTTTTTTAGCAGGCTTCTTGGCGGTATGTATTCAGTAAACTGATGAGTTTTTATTTCTAGATCCTTTCCCCATTATCAATGATAGAAGCAATACATAATGACGTACGGAAAGATTAATGATATGCAATCGGTTACAGGCTTTATCGAAATATATGCATTAACTATACAATTAGTGTAAAAAGAAGAAAAATCTAATTTGCTTACCTTTCACAAATTTAGAATTTTTTGCTTTGTTTCACCTGTTTATAAGTAAAGAGCTTTTTTCTTTTTCCTCTAAACAGCTAATACCAACTCTGGAAAACTAATATTAACCCAAAGCATGAACTACTTTGCTTACGCCTGATTTGACAGAGGTGAGAAACCTTTTGCGTATGTATTTAGCAAAAAAAAATCGAAAATGAAACTTAGCTGACGCCACACGTAATAGGTGCGATGACGAATAAGAGATAATATCATAATGTACCACTATCGTTTCCCACTATTTATTTAAAGGGAAAATAGTAATAATTTATTTGTTTATACAACCAACCATTATATACATGTAAAGACACGAAATTATACAAAATTTGCAGGTAATGCAATGAATTAAACAAACTAATAACCACTTTCAAGAAGCAAACACGATATAGAATAGCAAGCCCATCCGCCTTCGTTCAATTAAAAACGTGAAGAGAAAAACAAATTCCTCGCAGAATTTCGTGTTTTCATACATTTAAACTTCAGTGTGACATTTACATCCTCTACAAGATAATTTATATATGTCAGTAGAATGTTATATTTTACTCATTAGAAGTGATATTTATCCTCGATAAATCCGAACCATCTATTCCATCTACATTTATTCCTCTTCTTTTATTTCCTTTCTGCGCTAAAAAATAAAGCATTTTTGAAAATATTTAAATAAAAGCCTAGATAACACAGTATATATCTCTTATTATTTACTTATTATGTATGCATTCAATGTAAAAAACAGAGAAAATGCCATTTCCCCCGTATTTTTACAACTTCAATCGTTCTCCTATTTCTCATTTATCTGCAAAACATTTCCTTTAGATTTTGTTTAGTTTTTTCCTATAGCCGTTTTTTCTTATAAATGTATCTCTGAACATTTAATTCTGAGACAAATTTATTCAAAACCAAACACAGTATATTTTACAGCTACTGTGCATGCATAATCCCAAAAAAAAAAAACAACCGACAGTTGGTGAAAAATTTGTCGTTGACGTTATCATACATATTGCAATTCCGCATAAAAAGCGAGCATGATAAATAAATGCTTCATACGTAAATACGATCCTAATTAATCAAAAAGTATATAGTGTATGGATGTGAACTCATGACTTTCATGCCGAAATCTCGGAAATTAAAATTTTGTAATGATTATAGTTTAAATAAGAACAATACCCGAAGTCACTGATATTACTTTTAGCAAAATAGATAGGGATAAACCACATGAGATAGAAAAATTTAATAATAATATTATGCGACAATATTTGGCAATAATTTTTGCCTTTGATTTCATCAACTTCCAATCTCTCACCTTTAGGAGGGTGTAAAATAAATTTTTTTCTCGCATTTATAGGAAGCTCTAGGCTAGAAGTAAAAACCCTCCTACTTTTTTGTTGTTTAAACTCGGAAATATAAATTAAAAAAATTTTTTTTTCATATATAAACAGCAAAATTATAATATCCACAAAAGAAGTATGAAGGTATACCCATTTTGTCGTTGTTTACAACAACCGAAAGGAAGCTTCATAGACCCAATGAAGTATAAAAACTCTTGATCGACGTAGAACAGTTGAAAGTTACTAAAACATTTTTTATATTCTAATGAACAAGAAGGTAGGCAGACCGAGCTTATCTAACTGATCAGCTGGGCGGAATTTCGTGCCCAAAAGCGGCCAAGCCCTATCCTCTCTATGGTGCTTGTTTGGCCGTATTTTCTCTAGAGACCCAGAACTTAGACGGACTCCAAAATATTAATAGAATTGTAATATCACTCCATATGCATTTTTTTCTACTGCTCGTCTTGGTATTGTGGCTTTTATAACTTTTTTAAATGTCTACTATTACACAAAGAGTAATTTAGATCATTTGTGTACTCCGAGTTGTGAGCGAATCTTTAAACGGTTGCAAACATGCTAAAGCTAGGTAATAGATAATAGTAAACAAACTCAGTTAACTTTCGAATCATGCTATACATATGTTAAGATCGCAAGTTAAATACTTACATTAACTAAGCTTTATATAGATAATTTTCCTAGAGGAACGATTGCGAACATCAAAGTTTATCTCACCAAGTAATGTCGGCGAGTCGTTAGTACCATTTATTAACTTAACTAAGAAGGACACAACAAGAGTAAATAAATAATGAGAATAATAAGAATAACAAATAAAAAAAAGTGACTAAAGCTGACGAAAGCAGCTTATTATCATAAAGAGGCGGAGACAAAATGGATTCTAATTTAATCTAATCAAATTTTTGTGAATCGATGAAAAGTTCAGTGGTGAATAAATTCCTCCTTAAGAAAAAAAGGTTATTGAATTTTTTTAATTTAATTTCATAAAATTTATTGAGCACCATGTAATTTGAAGCTGACATACGTACGATTCCAAGGAAAAAAGAGAAAGAAACAAAAATAAAATATATATATATGTATATAAGCCTCTTTTTTCATTTTCCTTTGGCTTTCTGTCAAGCATTACATTGTACACACGTTATTTCATACGAGTTCTCAATAATTTTTATTAATTATAATTATTATTGTTTTTAATACCCATCACCGAAGAAAGGATCAAAGATCAAAACAACCCATAAGTTTGAAGATAAACGCGAACATAACTAGCAAGCACATTTCCCATAACATAGTTCGCTAAAATTGTTACTACCAGGCTGTGATTGGAGTGAAAGTTTTATGCCATAGAAATTAGGAAGCCTGAAATATTTTTGAGAACACCACTCAAATCTACATGAAAATACCTTTCGAACGGACTAAAGATATTCAAACTTTTCTTTCCTTTATTATTAAGAATTTTTTTAATTTGGTATGTTAGCATAAGCCGAGTGGGAAAATGCTCAATGATTCCAGCGTGGCCAAATTAATATATGGCACCCATATTCAGTTATGTCGAGTGAAACTATATTGAAACAGATTCGTAGTCGACTTGTGTTCTGAGTAGTGGGCGTTTTCTTTTCATCTGCGATTTTTTAATTGTTTCGATGATTTTGTGTATTTAGCTCGTGCCTTTTTCGTGCTTTTTGACGACGAAAAAACATGCTGTCCTACAGGAAGGATTATTATGACCTTCGATCGCTATCGGCTACCGCAAACTATAATTGTGGCTTGCTATAAATGTAAAGTGGAACTCTACATTCGAAATCCCATGAAGTGCAAAAACTGCCAACGTCATACGGCAAAAAGGTGCACCGGTGCACATGCTGAAAGCTGTACTCGTAGTTTCTGCCAAAATTGCAATAATCAACACAAACAATGCCCACATTTTACACAAATGCATGAAATTCTAAAAATCAAAACAGAAAATTACTATAGCATGGGCGAAGCGCGACGCAAGTTCCTGCAAATAAATCCATCTGGAATTCAAAGAATTAATAAAAGTAATACCTACACTGCTGTCGCCTCGTAAATCGAGCCTAATAAGCCTTTAACTCCAACTGCTTCCAACGAAAAACTTGTTCAACATCAACCAATAATCAATTTGCGAAACCAGTTCCACCACCCGCCAAAGGTAATAAGAAAAAATCAAAACAAGAGCAAATATTGAAAAAATTAAAACAACAACACGTATGCTAAAATCTAATAAACTAAATTCCCCAGAATCAACAGCTCTCAACTCTAGTCAACAAATTACAAGTGGTAATGAATCCAATCTTTCATCCCTTAAGCAATCTGTAATTTCAAATTGTTCACGTGCGCCCACTCGTTGCAATTCCAACGTACGCAACCACCAGATTACAGATTATTCTGCTCTTAAGAACAGATTATTCACGCAAAGTTCACCTTTTCGACGGAGACGCTGACTTCAACTTAACCCACCTACCACTCCGTTTCCATGCCACTACAATTAAATAAAAATTTTAAAATTCTACAATGAAACATTAAGGGGCTTATTAATAATTTTGATGAACTCCGTACACTCATAAGTGATTTTAATCCAACCTTTATATCCCCTCAAGAGACCCATTACAGAAGCTCTTTTAATCCCATTCCAGCCAAATCATATACAGGATACTTCACGAATGCTGATGAAATTCATATCCCAAAAAAGGAGTTGGTGTTTTTATAAAATCAAACATACCTCACAAACGCATCAATTTAAGCTGAAACATATAAGTCATAAGTTAGCGATACAAATAATCCTGAAGATAAAATTTACAGTGCTTTCGCTCTATATCCCACCTTCGTAATCATTTTCGCTGCAAGAGCTCTATAATTTATTCTCCGTACTTTCCTCCCCATTAATTATATGCACCGAATTTAATAGCTGCAACACCATCTGGAGCTCAACAGGAAACAACAGTCGAGGAACGGTTTTAGAAAAACAATCTCTGCACTTTAAACGAAACTCACGAAAAGCACTTTTGAACTGATGACATCTTTTCACATATTGATTTAACATGTTACTCTCCTTTGGTTTCCTGGTCTATCTCTGATGATCTACATAATAGTGATCACTATCCAATCATTTTGAAGTCCTTTGTTCCTCCAGCAAAACAGACCAAATTCCTCCTAGATAAAGCGGATTGGATCCATTACTCCAAGCAGGCCGAGTCATTTCTAAATTCAAAGCCATTTAATGGGAACTGCAACCATGATGCTGCTACTATATCTAAAGCGTTTCGCCGCGGCTTACCTCTCTATTCCTCAATCGAACAGCTTTCTTAAACGAGCTAGATGGAACAACACGCTTTCGTTATTGAGGAAAAACAAACTGGATCACAAATGGATGATTATTTATTGTTACCCAAAAAGGGCGATGCTCTATTCAGGAAGAAATTACAAAAATCAAAGGCACTTAGTTTCGAACTTTTTTCGAAAAGAATTCACAGAAATACATCAATGAAAGTCGTCTAGAACAAAATCAACGGATTCAAAGGGACCTCAAAT